AGTGTCAATTTCACTGGAAATAAAATAGAGCAGGAATTCTTCAGTGCTGTAATTCATCTTATCTTACTCATCATTGGATTTTAATAATAATTGCTATTTTATGAAATCCATGATGATAATAATGGGTTTGCTGAACACTCTCTACATTCTGGCTAGTCATCTAATCTTATTTACAGATAAGAAAAATTAGATACCAGAAGTTAAAATAACTTGTACAAACCAACACAAATGGCGAAGACTCAGGAGTGAGGAATCTTTTTCTGCCAAGGGCCATTTAGATATTTATAACATCATTCTAGGGCCATACAGAATTATCAACTTAAAAATTAGCCTGCTATATTTGGCCAAACATCTAATTAAGTCACCCCTGATGCCTTGGCAGGGCCAGACCAAATGATTTCGAGATAGCAAGAAGTAGTTGGATTCTAGGTGTACTACGAAAATTAAACCAGTAGGATTTGCTGAAAGTTTGAATGTGGATTATGAAAGAGAAGAATGAGGCCCACTGGTATGGCTCAGTGGTTGAGCATTGACCTATGAACCAGGAGGTCACGGTTCAATCCCCAGTAGGGGACATGCAGGAGGCAGCCAATTAATGATTCTCTCTCATTATTGATGTTTCTATCTCTCCTTCTCCCTTCCTCTATGAAATCAATTTTAAAAAATTTTAAGAAAGGAATAAAAGTTGCCTCCAAGTGTTTTGACTTGAGCTTCTGAAATGATGGAGTTGACATTGATCTGAGATGGAAAATATTGTATGAGGTGTGGGTTTGGGGAGGAGTATCACGATTTCAGTCTTATGTAGGATAAAGGAGAGATGTTTACTGGATATCCAAGTGGATATATACCAAGGCATTTATATGTATGAGTCTTAAGTTTAGAACAGAGATCCAGGCAAAGGATGTAGTTTTATTTCCCCATGTCATATTAGAGATAATATTTAAAGTCATATTACTGGATGTGGTTGCCATTGCAGCAGATATAGAAAATGAATAGAAGCAAGGACTGAGCTAAAGAGCACTCCAGATTTAGGATCAGGGAAATTCATAAAAAACTATTTTTAAAAAAGCATAATGAGAACAGCCAAGGAGGAAAGAGAAGAAAACAGAAGAATGTGATGTCCAAGAAGCCAAATGAACGAAATGTTTCAAGTAGAAGAATGGTTAACTGCATCAAACACTTTCATTAAATCAATAAAGCTAACAACAGAGACTTGAAAATTGGGTTAGTAATGTGGAGTAAAGGAGGCAAATGCCATTGGATGTGATTCAAAAGTAAATGGGGAGCCCTAGCTGGTTTTGCTCAATGGATAGAGTATTGGCCTGTGGACTGAGGGGTCCTGGGTTCGATTCCGGTCAAGGGCACATCAGTTCTGGTCAAGGGCACATGCCCAGGTTGCAGACTCAATCCCCAGTAGGGGCATGCAGGAGGCAGCCAATCAATGATTCTCTCTCATCATTGATGTTTCTATCTCTCTCTTCCTCTCTGAATCAATAAATTTTTTTTAAAAAAGACTAATTGGAGTCATTGACCTCCTACCTTTTAGAGGATAGTTGCTGGAAAGGCAAGTAATGAATGGGGCATTAGCTGGAGAACATGAACTTGAAAGTATTTGACTTTGCTTTTTCGTTTTCAAGACAGAAAAATCGGAGTAAGATTCTGTGTTATGAAATTGATTAAAAATTTTGCAGTGAGAATTACTGGAACAAATGATAAGGGATGGGACTTACTGCACAAAGGGAGGGTTGTCATTAATTAGATAGACATTTTATTCTTTTTAAAAATATATCTTTATTGATTTCAGAGAGTAAGAGAGAAGGAGAGAGAGAGAGAGAGAGAAACATCAATAAAGAGAGAGAATCATTAATTGGCTTCCTCCTGCATGCCCCCTACTGGGGATCAAGCCCACAACCAGGCATGTGTCCTGACAGGAAATTGAGCCGTAACCTTCTGGTTTATAGGTCGATGTTCAACCACAGAGCCACACTGGTTGGACAGATATTTTATTCTTAGTAGCTGGAGTGAGGAGAAAGAATGTATGGACACAGACATGGGTAATTGTAGATGTGTAGCAGCTTATGGATATTCTATCCAGATTGCCTCAATATTTTAGTATTATAGGAAACAAAGTAATAAATGGAGATGGAAGAAACTTATGATATTTGAAGGAGGAAATGTGTGAAATAGTTTTCTGGGATAATAAGAAAGTGAATGGGTGAAAGAAATAGGTACTTTTAGGCAGATTTTTTAGTCCATTTTGGGGTTATGGTCATAAACCAGAAGGTGTGTGTGCGTGTGTGTGTATGTGTATGTGTGTGTGTGTGTGTGTGTGTGTGTGTGTGTAACTAAGGTTAGTGAATTCAGGTATAGAGTAGAAAAATGGGCAGGGTGTGCGTGTGTGTGTATGTGTATGTGTGTGTGTGTGTGTGTGTGTGTGTGTGTGTGTGTGTGTGTAACTAAGGTTAGTGAATTCAGGTATAGAGTAGAAAAATGGGCAGGGTGAGAATTAAACCAATGTCATCTCAGAGGGAAGGTGGGGGAGGGTGGGTG